ACAGTGGCCTGTAACACAAAGCCTTTACTTCCTTACGTAACAGCTGACATCACGTTCTCACTGTAATCACACAGACTGGAACCTGTCAGGGAAGCCCTATTAGCACACAAAATGACCTCAATCAAGTTTTCACTAACCTCCATTTTTAAAACTGCATTCACTGGCTTTTTATTCTTTGACACTTTATTTCATGATAGGATCAACTGAATTAAATCTAAGACTGCTAAATTCATCCGTTTACATTTTTTACCAGGCTGACCAACATGCCCACAATGACATCTTTGTGGTCTCTAAAATGTCCTCAATATAGATGGGTGAGGAAAAAATATGTCTGAAGAAAACCTCATGTATATCCCAGAAAACACAAGAACCAGGTGACAGCAATAACAATGGTCTGAAAGAATGCCGCGGCTTTCTGTAGGCTAGACAGCTACAGGCAGGGAGGGCAGCCAGCCGAGATCGCCCCCAGTAACACTGAATGCCTGACACGAGCTCTGAAAAAAGCCATCGGACTTCTCTACTCAAGTGTAAAGCAGGAAGAGTGGTTTGAAATCTCACTAAAAATACAAAGATAACTAGACTGCCAGCCAGGGAAGACTGACCTTATACATTCCTTATACTAGAGTTAGGTAAACAGAGAAGAGCTAATGGCAGATGTTTTCCATTTAAGCTCATGGAGTGCTATCTCCTCTGTGCTAAATAGAGATGATCACAGAGTAACCATGGAGATCCCACTGTCCTTCATCAGTATGACACGTATGTGCACGAGGGGAGCATTTCTCATGAACAAGTCTCCGAGGCAAAGGCAATAAAATGGACAGAACTGTATGCAAAGAGCTGAGAATCCTTTAAAAATAAGGTCAATTAAATGGTCAAGGAAAAGTACTGTGGTTTTGGCAGCTTACTTGCCGTCTCTGCAGCGTCTTGTGTTCTGCTTAGGAGTATGTAGTCCTAACCTTTCTCCCAGGTCAGATCACTACTGACTCTACCTGAAAGAGTGTGAAAGTTCCCAACAGTGGTCTCTGCTCATCCATGTCTAATCTAACCAGTGGATAGGTAAGTTATCTTGTACATTGTCAGCACATTAATCTTTCTCAAGCGTCACTTTTATCATATCCCTGGCCTTTGATGCTCCTTCCTACATTGCGAAGGGTGGTGAATGAATGCCTCTTTATGGAGTGATGCTGGAGCAGAGAAGTAAATGGGTTGTGTGATGATCTGGGGTATGAAGAGGTTTCCAGAAAGATGGAAAAGCCTGAGGTATCAATGAGCCGTCGGGCTGAGAAAGAGCAAGGACTGTGGGCTGGAGTGGAACAAATAAGGGGATGGGATGGCGGTGACTCAGGAAATGAAGTTGGAGAGATGGACAGAGATCACGGGAGCTATGGAGGCATGGACTTTAATTACAGGTGTAACTTTTACCAAGTTATAAGGGACTCAATAAGCCTTGCTGAACAAAGGAATTATTAAGGTCCATTTAGACCTACTTATGTTGTTAAATTAGGACTGAGGTTTATAGTATGATTTAAGAGGAAGAAAAATACTTCTTTTGCATGTTGAACATGTTTATATTAAAATTATCTTTACATTAGCAAAAGTTTTCCATTACTAAAGTTGAATAGTGTCAATCTTTCTAAGTCAAGGAAAAAAGTAAACATAAAAACCTCTCTTCTAATTCTGTCTTAGAACTTTAATGCCATCTCTTGATAAAACTGGTTAATAAAATAGCAAATATTTATATTTAGATTCTTTTAAGTATCATACAAACACACACATACATATATTTTAGGAGGGAAAGACCTGCTTATGATACATATCTACTGAAAACAAAATTACCATTTGTTGCATGATGGAAGCACTTATGTCAATATTCTATCTAAGAACACTATGACTTCTGGGTACTCCATGATTAAACAGCAGATCCCCTGAGTGGGATAGGCAGCCTCTAAGATCACCCCCAGCAAGCACTGCATCCTGGCGTTCACATGCTAGGTATTCCCTCCTGCTGAGTGTGGGCTGTATTTAATGATTTGCTTCTAAAGAGCAGAATATGGTAAAAGTGATAGGATATCAACTCGGAGATTACATTGCAAAGAGCCTGTGGCTTCCATCCTGAGCACTCTCTTGTTTGCTCATTCTGAGAGAAGCCAGACACCATGTCGTGAGCTGTTCCATAGAGAGGCTCACGTGGAAAGGAACCGAGGGAGGCTCTGGCCAACAGCCAGTGGGAAACTGCAACGCTCAGTCCAACAGCTCACAAGGAATTGAATCATACCAACAACCGTGGAGTGAGGTTGGACATGGATCCTTCCCGACCTTCGGACGAGATGGCAGCCTAGCCGGCAGCTTGGCGGCGACCTCATGACAGACCTTGGGCTGGAGGCCCCCGACTGAGCTACACCTGGATTCTTGATCCACAGGAAGTGTGAAATAGTGTGTTGTTTTAAGCCATTAGGTTTTGGGGTAACTTGCTACACAGCAATATATAACTAGTACATCGAGCTACTAATACATTTTAATGGAGAAGTACATCAGTTAAACTGTTAACGGTGGCTGAACTAAGAGACATTTAAAAATGTGTGAACTACACATTTAATCACTTTGAATAGCATGGTTACTTTTCCAGTGTTTTTTAACTTTGACTAATACTAGTTTAAAGGGGCCAATTTGGAGGGGACAGTTAAAAAAATCAAACGGTTGTATTAATGAAAAGATTTGTCAGAAACTAAGAAACCCATTTAGGGTTATAAAGTACACCCAGCACAGTGCTGGGCACTTGGGAAACCTACTAAAGATGTTAAATCATCTATGCCATAGCTTGATATCTAATTGAGAAATAAGACCATTGAAAATAGGAAAACAAACAGGCTCTCATAAGACAGTGCAGCTCAGAGAAGACAAACAGGGACTCTGTGGCATCTTACTGTACTGATGGACAGTGACTGCAGTGGGTACGGGGGAGACTCGATAATAAGGGTGAATGTAATAACCACATTGTTTTTCTTGTGAAACCTTCATAAGAGTGTATATTAATGATACCTTAAAAAGAAAGTGCTCATAAAAACAGAAGCCAAGAATAATGATGACAAATTAAACAAGTATTTCTCCCACTGCAACTTGAATGCCTCAACTGCACTGTGTGGGAAAATACCATTGTTTAAAAATCAGCAAGAAACTAAGTGGGAGGTAGAGATTTAATTCTGTGAATTCATGGAAATTTATTGCCATCAGAAAATAAACTCATGATTATTGACCTTCTAAAACACACATAAAACCAATTTAAGTAAAAACATTAATGGTAATTAGCCTATCACGTAGAAGTTATAGAATTTTAGAGCCACAGCAGACTTTAAAGATCACCTACCTCCCTCAACAATACCATTTTATAGATGAGGGCACTCAACGCAATCTCACTGGCCACACATCCGGTGGGGAGCTGAGCAGGGCGAGAACTAAGGGCTCTGACACTAAGCGTGGGCTGTTTCCTTGCCGTGATGCTGAGGCTGACCCTTTCCGGAGAGGTGAGAATGCCTGTATCTGCAGAGAGCAAATGGGCCTCACGTGGAAGTTACATTCTTTAGGGTGTTATGAATTTCCGAGAGCATCTGCTATCACCTAGCCTTCCATTTACTGAGTTTTATCAAATGGCTTAACATTGCTTTTTCCTTTTTTTAGTGATATTAAGGCCAAACTCACTGGATTTCTCCTTTGGTGGTTGTTTCCTTCTCACTTGCTGTGTTTAAACTTCTCTGATTATTCAAAATGCTGTTGATAGAACTTTTTGGCTACTTAGCATCTGACTATATTTCAGGTTTAGAGAATCTCCTACCTCATGAGGCAGAGCCTGCTTCCTACCAAATAAGCTTAAGTACCTGTGAGATAACAGAAAACATACACTGGTCTCCATTCCTGGTTCCTGGCACAGAGCTCCTGAAACCCTTGTAATTTCCTAAGTGATAAGAGCACTAGGAGGGTCTTTTGGTCTAATATTTGGTCACTGACCCTGGTTCCTGAGACTCCTAAGATCCCTTGTAAGTTCCTGGATGACAGAAGTGGCTTTTGTTCTAATGAGGCAACTCTGGGTGGGTTCCGGGTGGGGCTGGTCACCAGAAAGACCACATCATGATTAGAAGTTTGGAATTTTCAGCCCTGCCTCCCACCCATTCTCTTGAGAAGAGATAAGGGCTGAAAACAAGAGTTAATGATCAATCATGCTTCTATGATGAAGCCTCCATAAAAATCCCAATAGTATGGGGTCCACTGCGCCTCCAGGTTGGTGAGCACATCACATAACCTGGAGAGTGATTCGGCCCAGCTCCACAGGGGCAGAAGCTCAGGATCCTCCCAGGTATCACCCTATGCACCTCTTTATCTGTATCCTTTATCATACCTTTAATGAACCAGTAAATGGGTTTCCTTGAGTTCTGCGAACTGCTCCAGCAAATTAATCGAAACTGAAGAAGGAGTCATGGGAACCTCTGATTTATAGCCAAGTCAGACAGAAGTTGTAGGCAACCCGGAACCTTCTAACTTGAGATTGGCATCAGAAGTGGGGTGTGGGCAGTCTTGTGAGACGGAGCACTTACACCTGTGGAATCTGACACCATTTCCAGGTAAACTGTAGGATGCCCAGCTGGTGTCACGGAGAGTTGCTTGTTATGTGCAAAAACCACCAAACGTTTGGCGACCAGAAGTGCTGTGAGCACTGTGTGTGAGCAGTAAAGGAGAAAGACACAGCGGGGGAGAACCACAGGTTTTTCCATATGGTATGAGATACTTTTGTTTCCCAGACCTCTTGTAACTAGGGGGTAGGCATGTGACCTAGGCATTGCCTATCAGATGCACCAGCTTCAGACTGGAGAGGGTGGTGGCCCTGGAAGTAGGAGTGTCTAGCTTGAAGAGCCAGTCGTGGCACCTGTTCCAGAGTAGGTTTGGAATCAGTGATATTGATGTTGCAAGCTGTGGTCTATGCCAGCTCTGTGGTGTAATCTGGGCTTTGCTTTTGTTTAAGGGACTTCCACGTCTGATTCCTGGCTCTCCTAGACATCCTGCTTAGGTTACCCATAGTAGTTTGTTACTTCAGATGAAGAAAACTGATTGATACGAGCAGCTAAAAGTAAAAACAACAACAACAAAGCTCTACTGGCATTTAGTAAGTGCTTAATAAATGTGGAACTAAACTGGCTGTTTACAGAGACAGTACTTAACGATTAAGTGTATGCTGACTAAGGCTCCCTGGGACAAAGGGGAAAAGACAGCGCCATTCAGATAGTGCATTTGCTAGAATGCAAGCAAATAGCATGACTAGCCACTCAGAGTAGGAAGCAGATGTTTATGTTCACAGCCTGGTTCTTCTATCTTAGTTAGACTAGCTGTCTTAGTCTGAGTGCAAGCCTGTTTTCCTGGAAAAACCGATGGCCACATCAATAGAAACATAGATAGTAAACTGATTAGTGAGAAGACCGACTGTTTATCTTTACTATTAAATGATCTATGTTATTCTGAATGTAGAACTGATCAGTTGGTCTGGGACAGGCTAGTTTAGGGAAATAACTAACATTTACTTACTAGAAAACGTTAAAAAAAAAAAAGACTTTTGTATGTTTAAATGCCATGGGAAAAGCAAGCAAACTGTGAAATTAATGCCTGCTAAATTTGGATGGAATGAATTTATTAAAAAGTGCTTTAATTAGGTAAATTTATGATTCCAAGAAAGCTGGAACTCAGTCTCCCAATTTGTTTCTTTGTATTTTAATATAGTGGTGAAAAAAGTCTTTCTGGTTTATCATAGAAATTCCAGGAAACTTGCCTATGTGCATGCCTATTTTATTACAAATATAAATGCTTTATTTTTGGTTGGCAATCATGTCAAATCATGTGATTGATATTAAAGTATTTATAGATGGCCAGAAGATAAACAGAGTAGTTGTTAATCTGACATTATGGTAACATAAACTGGTATTTAGCTCTACTGCCTTTGCTTAGTTCCAAACTGTACTTAAGAGACAGGATGAAGGTACCACCAGGAGCTGGTGTCTGGGCTACTGAGAACAGACTGTGAGGCCTTATTCAGAAAGCTCAGGTACGGGTTCTCTTAATTTCTCAGCCACTGCAGCTGTAAAATAGAGATGAAGTCATTCCATGGAGACTTTGTGAGGACCAAATACAATTACATGTGTTAAAGAATGCAAAAATATGCTTAATATAGATGGTAGGTGCTCAAAAAAGGGGAACTAAACTATGTAGTAATATAGGCAATAGATGGTTAAAAAGCATTTTGTTTGGAAAAAATCTCCAAAATATTTTAAACTCTGATATATACTGAAAAAAATCTTATAAATGCTTAATTTTATTTATTTCTACCTTGTTATTCTAACAATGTAGCTCATACTTACATACTATTTTTACTCATAAGTTATACTGTCATTTTTACTTTATTTAACCCTGGATTTTATCACTCTAAAATGGGAAAATTTGTGTAAATATCTTACTGTCAATTAGGGTGGCCTCTGCTTCAAAAAATTGTATGTTATTTATTACTGCTGAATAAATACTACTCTATATTATCACTGCTAATTATTTCCAGTGTTTACTAATGTATTATAATTTAGCTCAAAGTCATTTAGTAAGTGATCAGTGACAGACTGAGCTGGTCTTCTAACAGAAGACAGAAATGTCTTCTAAGATATTTATGTCTTGTCTTTCCTCACATCAAATTCTAAGTCATTTTGTTTCAAATATAAAAGTGCTTTATGTTCTCAAAGAATGTCCTTGATGGTGCAAAGAAACTACCTTTCACATTTACCAAAAGTGCTATGCCTGGGGATCTGAAGAGCTGGGTTCTGGTCACAGCTGGGCTGGATCAGCCATTTGCCTCCCTGAACCTGCCCTTACCTGTATTCTAAGGCTGCGGTGCTAGACTGTCCCTAAGTTTCCTTCCAGCTCTGAGATCCTCTATGATTTATTTTCAGTTAGATTATTAGTTCTCTGAAGGCATAAATCACATCCCAGAGCTCTTTTGAAATGCTTTTCTTTGAGCATACTGCTGTGCACTGAATATTTGTAAATCTGAACTGCAATTATATACTATAAAAAACAAATACAGAATCAGATTATCATACTGTATAATAAAAAATAAGCAATGAGTACTAAGTGGCCATTATTTAACACTTAAACGATGCAGTCTTAACTATCTTACCTTTTGCTTCCTTTACTTACTCATGGTAGTAGGAAACTGGGAGGAATGACTAAAGACAGTTTCTATATGAAGTATTGTCCTCTTATCTCCACAGACCATCAAAATATTCCTGACCTCTAGACTGATGCTTTACGCACTGTGACAGACCAGGTGGTAAGCAGCCTCTAAGATGTCCCACAGTAAATCCCGCCTCCCGTGTTCACACTCCTGTGTGGTCCCCTGCTATAATGTTCAGTCTGTGTACCCAGCAGCTTGCTGCAGAAGCGACAGCATGCCCCTGCTGTGGTTAGGTTTGAAAGACCTGCTTCTGTCTTGGGAGCTCTCTCACTTTCTCATTTTCCTGGGTTAGCTGCTTTGGGGGAGGCCCCAGGGACAGGCCCACATGGTGAGGAAATGAGGCCTCCTCCCAACAGTGCCCGAGCCTGGGAGCAGATCCTTAGCACCAATCAAATCTTCAGTTCCACCAACAGCTCGACTGCAACCCCATGAGAGACCTGTGGCCAGAGCCACCCTGCTCAGCTGCCCCGAGAGTCACGACCCTCAGGACTATGCGAGACAGTCGGTGCTTGTTCTTCCTAACAACGAGGTCTTGGGGTAACTGCATGTACATTTACTAATACATACATAGAGTCCTCTTTTTGTATTAAGTACCATCATTTCTAGCCTAGATGATCATAACTTCCTAATTGTCCCTATAAAAGCACCATTTCCTCTACTCTACCCTTTCCATTGCTGTCAGGGAAATATTTGAAATGACTCTATTTGTGCCTCTCCTCTGCTCAAAATCTTCAAAATCTTTTAGTAGCTCCCTATTACTCATAGGATAGAATAAAAACTCCAAACCCTGTCATACGTGGCCTTCACGAACTAGCTTCTGTTTGTACTTCTCTAGCTGCTTCTGCACCCCAATGTCTGTGCACTTTAATTCTACTTTAATCCCCCAAGTGGGCTCAGCACTTTTCTTTCTGTTTATCTGTTTATTCCTGTTCATCTGTTTCCTCTCCCTAGTCCACCTCATCCCCTCGGCCAGTCCTACTTACCCTTTGTGCTTCAGTTCAAAATATCACTGTGTGCATATGGGGCTGGGTTGGGGGGAGATTATATATTTTAATTAACTACATTTTTTCCCCTGGATATAAAGGATAGTTCCTGCTTGCATAGATGCTTTATACATTTAATTCAACTCAACAAAATTTTTTGGACACTTACTATGTGTTAGGCACTTATTTTTGTAAGGTACTAGAAATAACAAAAAATATTAAACAAACAGGGTCCCTAACCTTAAAAAGCCTACAGTTTAACAGGGAAGTTAGACAATAAACTACTGATTACGAATGATATGAATAATACAAAAATAAGGGAGTTCAGAGTATTCTGGGCAGCCAAAATGGGGAAGGAGTGCCTAACCTACTCTACGGGCTTACGAAAGCCTTTCCTGAATGTGTGTTCAGTAAGGGATTTAAGAAAAACCTCTATCAAAAAGATGTTAAATGAGGATCAAAACACAGTCCTAAACTTCAGTCCAAAATGCAAACTCAGCAAACAAAACACAAGAGACATGGCTTGGCAGTAAAAATATAAAATATTTTTAAATTTATATGTGAAAAACTATACAGACTACATTTAACAGAAAGCACAATGCATGATGTAACTGGCAACGACCACAGTGGTTTCACCAGTAGAAACGCACTGTACAGCACCTGGAGACACTCCATTATGCTCAGCATTCACAGCCCTCTTTAAGGGAGGCGGGAAAACCACAGCCCATTCAGAGGAGAATGATCAGAGGCACCTTGAACCCAGGGCACAGAAGGAGGCTGGGAAAGCTTGCTATATGAAGACTCAGAGGATATACAGTGTACAAACAGCTAAAGGCCTGACACATGGAAGAAAGATTATATTTATATGTAATCCTGTGGATTTATGGGCAGAGGGCGGAAGACAGAGAGAAGGAATGATCCACAAACTGCCAGAGCTATTTGGAGCGGGGAGTCTTCATCCCTGGAGGCGACTATATTCTGAACTGGCTGCCTAAGCAGCACTGCAGAAGGGAATCCACACACTGGAAGCGGGTTAGCATGGACGATGCAGTACTGATGCCCTTTTAACCCTGGAATTTTGTGGCTTGAATACATGAATATTTATGCGTCTTCCTTTGTCCTAATCTAAACTGTACTGATGCCAAGTAGATCACATTTCCCCTATATAGCAAGTAGACTGAAAACAAAGAGACAGGCTTTAAAAGATATCTTCAAAGATGCTAATTATATGGTCTTCTTACTCTGCTCCTGGCAACAAACTAGTTCACAGGTCACATTTGTCTCAGAATTTAATCTAAATCTTATGTTTAAAGCATTCGTTCGTTTCTTTCAAGTCTGCAATCAATCTGGAGGAAAGTATCTCTACGGATATTTGGTTGAGTCCAAAGGCAACTCTTGTCTGACATACTCAAGATCCCCAAAGCGTAAGTAGTTCTAATTCATAATCTGCATCCGTATTTTCAGCTTCAAGATCCTAGATTCAGGAAAATGAAATATAGACCTCTCAGGACTCTCTAACTCCTATTTGTAAAAGCCCATGGGACGGGGTAATTCCCAATGTGAACAAAATTACATTGCCTTTGATATGTATATCCTGAGATGGTGCTGGCCTATTAGCACGCTGAACTCAGTTTATGTTTCAAATAACAAAGAAATTATAATGCAAGTACTGAACGAACCACGTAACACTCCACGGGAATTTAGGATCCCTAGTGTTTCCAGTTGTTATCATTGCAAAAGAGAATTCACACAGGAGTTAAACCTGCGCTTATTAAGCAATTCTTTTGAAAAACAGAAACTTCAGATTATGTGAAATGGCTCAATCTTCTGACATACAGGGTTCTTACTTTTCCAGTCCAAAGATAAATCCATTCTGTGGAGCGTAATATGTGTAAAATAGAGAAATAATTCAGATTTTGGACAGTTGGTAGGAGGCTCAAAGCAACTTTGTTGGCTTAAATGGATGATGATCTCTAGTTTTTGTTAGTTGAAAGCTAAACCATCTGTTTAAGTAGAAACAGATGTTTGTCCCAAAGGGAGAAAGAGTGATTTCACTGAAAGCTAACAGGACTCTGAAGGTCAGTTAGGTACAGTGGGCCTGGCCACTGGCTTCTCGGCAAGGAAGATACAGTGCAGGCTGATCTATTCTAAACCTCTGGGGTCCTGTGAAAGTCCCTATAGAGTAAATAGTTGCTTAGTAAATCAGATACAAAAAAGAAACTACTCATGGAAAAAAAATTACCAGTGCAACTGCCAATAAATCATCAAAGCAATAATCACTCTCAACAAAGCGAGAAGCGTTCCAAGTACAGAAAAGCAGGTCTACTACAGATCCTGTTTTTTTCCATTAAAAAAATTTTATTTTCAGATTTATTTTGCAGAAGAGAGTGCAGAAGAGGCAATGCCAAGTGGGGATAACCTAATGGTTCGGGACGAACTTAAAATGGGGAGGTAACCTGATGACTTTAAGAAACAAAAGGGACAGAAAGCTAAGCAGAAGTGAAGGTGGTAAGAAACAACTATTTCAGTAGCACGGAATCAGCTTGTACGTCCTCCTTCAGTTAGATGCCAGATGCCAGCACTAAAGATTTTTTCCTTTGAAATTTCTTTGGGCATTTCTTTCTCCTCCCTTTCAAGGCCGTTAATGATCTCACCCAAAACTGTCGTAGTGTCTCCTGGCTCATCTTCTCTGCAGCTTCAATTTACCCTACCATTCCTCCTAGTGAATCTTCCCTCCGGACCTTTTCCTACTTTCGCACCTCAGCTAGATTAACAGCCTCTTAACAGAGCTCTGATAGTGTTATTTTTATGTTTAATAGCTTAAAGTCACTTCCTTGACTCATGGATGACCTAAATCATACAGCTGCATCCCTCACAGTAAACACTGCTCATCTCTCTTCAACTTGAATCCTTTCTTTACTGTCTCCTCCCAGACACCCTGCTCAGTCCCAGCTTAGCCCACGATGACAGGCTGCAGCAAGCAGTGGCTGCTACTGTGGCCACTGGGTATCCATCATTTCCCTGTTAAAAGAAGTTCACATTTTTTTTCAGATCACAATGTGCCTACTTAAAACATAACATTCCCTTGAAGGTAGGCATGAGCATGTGACACTGATGTCACTGACACATAAGCAAAAGTCTGCTAGAAATTTCAGGAAAAGGTTTGCTTTCCTGATAGATGCCATGCCTTCCTCTTTATTTCTGTGTGAAACACACATATGATGACTTGAACTACAGCAGCCACTTTGAGATTATCTGGGAAAGAAGAGAATAGAACTGTAGCAACCTTAGTCCCAGCATCCTTAAATTGTGGACTCAACATCAGCAACTTGACTGGTTTGTTGATGTGGACTTCTCAATATATAAGAAAATATAAATCCAATTTATTTAAACAAATGCTTAATTAGGTTTTCCATTACTTGAAGCTGAATGCAATCCTTACATAAATAAGTCTTGCCCTCTCTTTATCCTAAAGAAAATGTTTCTTTACAGTCGGGTTCAGGTTTTATTCAGTTCAAGTTTCATCTCCCAACGTACCAACTGATGTTAATCAGCAAGATTCTATCATATTCTTCTAATTTTTAATCCTATACCAGACACTGTGATTTGTATCTACCTAGGACTTAACTGATCTCTGTTCGAAAAATTAACCAGCACGTTGTTTCTGGCTTGGAACTGATCGAAATCATCCTTGTTGATCCAGGCTTAGCTGGGAACTTAGCTCTTTAACTAAGAGCTAAAAAGGGATCTAAGGAATTGAGCCAAATTTTACCCAAATTCTAAACACAATTTGAATCATACTCTGCCTCCTTAGGTGACTGTCTCCTCACTAGTAAACTGCCTACTCAATCCAAAGCCTCAAGATGTACTTAGGTCTTCACAACGGTATTGCTTATTATAGTTAGTATTGTGAATGTTAATACACATCATTTTACTTGCCAGCAATACACATTTAACAGAGCTGTGTATATATTTGGAGAGAAAATCTTTATTTTCTTTTTCAAGTGAATAGTGTGATTTTTTTTTTTTTTCCTCCTCTCCTTTTCTCAGAGAAATTCTTAGGGTTGGGATCTTCCTACTGGTTTTGGTAGTGAGTCACAAGTCAAAGAACTATTTTATTATACATTGAAACAAAACTAAAACATGGCTCAAGAGAAGACTCAATTCACTTAACTGGATACAACTATAGAACACTGAAATGGAATGAATTGCAATGAAAATGCAAGGTTGTAAATACATTTTTTTTAAATTGAACTGACAGGCCTTTAGGAAGAAATTAATTTTTAAGAGTAAAAGGCACAACTTTCAGACACAAATCTCTTACGCAATCTGCCCTGATTGAGCAGAACATGTCTAAGATAGGACAGTTTCCAAATATACTTTCTTTGGGACAGCACATCTACGAAACTGTGATCATCAAAAGATGTATCAACATTCTTTGATTATTGATACTAATACACTTAAAAGGTTCGTTTGCTTCCTGCCTTTCAGTTATATTGCTAGTAGCTTCTTCTGGATTTTCTTTACATGGAAATTACTTTGAGATTAAATATCATTACAATTTAGTCTTGTAGTCATTTGTTCACCTACCTGGGCCCTTAATATTGACAGGGTAGAATTAAGAGTTCGTTTTCCTTTTATTACTCATATGCCACCTAACTTAGGTACTAGAGGGAAGGAGAGCAGTAAAACCAAAGCAGGGAAGGCACTGGTGGATCACAGAACGTGTCTGCTGATGCCTGTGTTCAGTCCCTGACGGAAGATGCCTACAAAGTAGCTTCTATGTTCTATTTGGCTGAATGATTTATCAAGAGTGAAAGAAAGGAAATGAGCGGTTTTACCACAACATAAGTGGAAATGATTTAAAAGAGGGAAATGTTGACTGGCAGTACAAGGGGAACGTCCAGACTCCTGTTTAAAAAACAGCAGCACCTTTTAATTCATCGGCCAGTGATCTACGAGTCATTCGCAATCATTTTTAACCAAGATTTTTTCAAGTATACCTAGCATTTTAACTCAATAATCTTTAGTGTGGAGACTTCTTCAAAGGGAAGACCTTACTTGCAGCTTTGTTAATCTGTTTTGAACTCTCTTATGAGACAAAGGAAATTAAATAATAAAGAGAATTCAAAATGAAGAACAAATAACAAAAATTAAGTTAGCATGTGACTAGTACTTTCTAAATGGCATTAATTTCACACCCACATCCTGCTCTTTTTAGCTATTTCTTATATAGACTTTTTTCACACCAAAAAGCCACAGAGTAGAATTATTTGAACATTATAGCTTAAGACCAGATATAGACCTGGCAATCTACTTTACTCTGTTAAAATGAAAAAATCAAGTTCTTCTTCCCAAATATCCCTATCAAGGATATTCCATAAGCTCTCCAGGTACACACATAAACAAGTTGCTCAATAAAATTTGACTTTATGTCTTCTACCACCTTCTCCAAAATTCTACAGGCTCCACTCAAGTCAGAGACAGAGATCAACTTAACTCTTCAGATTACAAATGATATAATTAGAGTACAGTTTGTCAAATCATATGCCTAGTAAGCCAAAGAAATCTCTCTCTCTGGATCTTGGAGAGTTCTATAGGTCAGTTTTTTGCATGTTTGCCTTCACAGAACAACTGTTAACAATTTGTGAAATCTAGCTTAAGGGTCTTCAGGTACTCACTGTACTTGTCTTTTGAACTTTTCTGTAGATTTGAAACTTTAAAAAATAAAAATTGGAGGACTAGAAAAAGAGGGAATAGTCAATCATGTCAAAGACCGATGTGAAGTCAGGTAAGCTGATAATGTAGGCAGACCTGTGGCTTCAGCAAAATGCTGGCCATTGGTGAGCCTTTTGCAACAGCGCTGCGGTCAAGTCAGCAGCAGAAGCCAAGAGGGGCAGAGGAGAAAGCGAGAGACAAGCAAACGGAGGCCGTGAGTACAAGCAACTCTTTCAAGAGTTTTGCTAGGCAGGGCAACAGGGAAACAGGATGTGCAGTTAAGAGTCTCCCTACACCAAAGGTATTATTAAGACATTTTGTATGTTGATGAGAATGATCCAGTAGAGGGGAAACTGATCGTGCTGGGCTGGGTATACGTGCAGGAGCAAAGTCTTCAAAACTGTGAGAGGGGCTGGGATGCAGGGCCCAAAAGGAAGGAGTCACCTTAGATGATGGAGATACTGATGACAATGACAACAGTGACAAAGATGATAACACAGTGACTAGACTGAAAATAGCCAGGCACTACTTAAGGCATTTTTACTCGAGGTACAGAAAAATTAATGAACCTGCCTAGTGATACCTATGTAGTGAGTAGCAAAGTTGAGATTTGGAACAATGGAAGAGACTCTTCTTCCGGCATAACAGGGAAGGCAGGGTCCAAGGGCGTGGGTGCGGCTGGGCTGGGGGCAGCGGCAACATGGGGCAGCCCATACGTGATTACCTCTGTTTTCTCAATGTAGCATTTGGTGAGTTCATCAGCTGGGGGGATGGGGAGAGGGAATGTTGGAGATCTGAGAAGAGAAGGTGAGGAATCATTGTTTCAAAGACCAGTGAATTTACTAGCGATGACTGGCAGTGCTGAATGCCCCTCTGGAATTAATGGTCAAATTTGAAGCAAATCTACTTGTCCTGACTAGGTATATTCTAGCAATTTTCAGCTGCTTGAGAGCAGGCATAAAGAGGACAACTGGGTTTAACTATGGTGGTTTTTTTTTTTTTACAGACAAGTGCACCCTAAGAAAAGAGGATTCAGAGAGCAAGAGGGGCTTGCAAGAGAGTGGTGACAGCATGGGACATGGAACCCAGGCCACACAAGGGGTGGGTGACTACAGAAGAAGGGCTGGGTCGGAGCACCAGAGACCGGTGAGGTGAGAGAGGAGTCGGGGTGCAGGTGCAACAGTAAGAGGGGCAGCAGGCAGGGAGGCCCGAAGAGGAGACCCCAAAGGGGTGCCAGCAGCGACGACGATGAGGTCCAGAGTATGACCGTGTGGCCAGGAGGCTGAGGAAGAGCAAAGTGAAAGATGACAGGATCCAAAGGTGCCAGCGGGCAGGATGAATCCTGTGGGTAGATGGTGAAGTTGTACAAAGAGATGATGGAGGCAGTGGTGGAGAGTCGTTAGTGACAGTGGAGGAGGAGACAGCAACAGAGAAGTGTTAGGAGTAAAGGCTGATGTTATATATTTGAAAAACATCAGAGAGACTGAAGGACAGAGAATTTGGAAGTTGTAGTGGGGAGCAGGCTGAGAGGTACCTAAGGTGGGAAAGAAAAATTTCAGGCTCTACTTTGAGAAGTATCCTCAGTTAGCCTACCAAGGTGAAGGGACCGTCCAGGAAAGGGGCCGAGGACACAGCACAGTACTTCACATGTGGAGTATATATTCAGTAAGTATCTCTTGAATTTGAATTTAGCTTTCCCAATAATTTACTATATCCTAGAAAGGGAAAACAAAACTTATTTACAAAGAAATCCAAACCAGATTAAAAAGGAAATGATCCTCTAATGCTTGAATTTTTCAAATCCATGAAAGGCTCATTTTCAAAAATTAGTCCCCTGGCCAAAACAGAGCCAAATAGCATCTTCCTGTTTGGGGCTTAATATAAAGAGGCAGTTCACTGTTACAAAGTAAAACCAGGCATTCTCTTGCCCTAAGAACCCAATATCAGAACAAAATTAAGTGAATTCTACTTTATTAAAGGTGAGACAATAAACTTACGGAGCATCAGCTGATTAGAAATTAAAGCTATTATGGTTCAAGCAGAGAAACATAGGTACCATGGAATAAAAGTAAATGATATTTCCTAAATATATTCTTTGGAGTATAATACAGTATACTTGGACTACACTGTCCTTGAAACAGCAGAATGATTGTTTCATAAAAGCTTCAGAGATGCCTTTACTGAAGAAAGACAGTTCTCCTCAACAGTATAGTTAAAAAAAAATATGTTCTATATGTCTTTGTAAGACTAAGAAAATATTATAATTCTTTAAGTTTAACAAAAGAAAATGTTTTATTTTTTATCTATAAAGTTGCCTCCTAAGCATTTCTAATAAGCTGTTTCTGGGCTTAATATATACAAAGACAGCACACTGAAATTCCATAGTTCTCTAGGGCCTTAAAACGTACAAAGAATATCTAATACTTTTTCTCTATGAAGATACTTTCTAGGAATATATCCAGAATCCCAGTGTTTTGTTTTATAATGTATTTGGTGGTTTAATTATGATCATCAATCAGAATGACCACTGGTCCAACTACAGATTAGTTCAAAGGGCTTTTCCTTTTTGTCTTTCTCATAAACTATGAAGTTATTATTACCCGTAGTTCTATTACACTAGATAAATGGACTTGAGAAGGATGGTCCATGCTCCTAGTTCCAACAGGGCCTAACAGGATGGGTCAGAGAAAGCGGTTAGCAAACAATGTGCCCGATGTTCATTTACAACCCACAGCTGGTACTGGGAGTAAGAGATTCTTCCTTTCCATGAAAAGCCCAACTGGAAGTAATCTCCCCTTTACTGACTTTCTTTAGTGCTTTATATATTCCTTATGGGACTTTTTCTTGAGTACAATGATTTCTGTGTTTATCTTATTTTCCTTCTAGACTAAAAAGCAAGTACATTGTGCCTTAACATCTTTGGATAGTCTGAAGATATTATAGTATTATTTACATTTTACTTAAAACCCAGCATTAGAAGAACAAAATGCAATAGAAATATCATACCAAGTTCATCAGTATTATGGAGTAACTATAGACAGGCTGCTGAAGTTTGGTCTGGGAATCTTATCACCATTTACGCAATATAGGTAACTGCTTTGAGTTCCAAAAACATGGCTTACAAATTCTTTTTCAGAACACAGCAGGGGCTTCTTATACTGCATTTATAACCTAAGACCCCAGACAAGTCTGTAGAGCAGTCAAGATGTTAACTCTTCCAATTTTGAAAATGAAATAATTTTTTTCCCTTTAAAAATACAGTAATTTAAAAAGTAACTTTAAATTTAAGATTTTAACTTTAAAAGAGTCATTTTGAAAAAGAGTACAGGCATTTAAAAATAGCATTTTGTGAAAACAGTGGAAAGATGTTTCAGAACTAATCCATGGACCACCTAAATATTTTATATGCCTTTTAGTTAATCCAGAGAATCTTGTTTAAACAAAGCAATCTCATGTCATTCAGAAACCAAAATTTCAACTTACCATTTATGTTTATTGCTGGTAAAACAATTGACATCTTTGGTCTTGTGGTCTTATTATGAGTGGTGGCTGGTAACAGCAAGTGATCCTAAAATTAACAAAGAACCATTTGTTATTACCCACAACAATTGGCTTAGTCCTATAACAGGCCAAATTCAGACTTTCTAAGGTGCCAGTGTTTCATTAGGATCACAGGAAATGCATTTTTAATTGATTCTGGTTTAGATAATTAACTACATATCATCTCTGATTCATTCATTAAAATCTGGTTCTGCCCTTAATAGCTATACAATTTGGGTCTGTTTCTGATCCTGCAAAACAATGTCAAGAGATACTGAAGTTTTCTATCCAATACAGTCATTTTCAAACTATTTTAAAGAAGAGAAACATTTTCCCCCCAAAATATTCGCATCCCAAATTATCGACTATCAAAAGGAGATTCTGATGGAAGTGGGGCCAGAGCCTGGAGCCTTGCCTGCTTAGCCCCCTCTTCTCCCTCTGAAGCGGCCACAGCATTACACTTTTTTTGTGAGCACAGGTAGGTACTAAAGAAGATGTACGGTTCTTGCCCTTAAGAAGCGTATGTTTAGTGCAAGAGTTTTAAAAATTACAAATGTATGTCTAGCACAATCACACAGTTCTAAATGTAATATTGCCAGTTTTTGCTGATCTGTAAGGGACCTGGGGGCATCTGAGGTTTCTGGTTTCCAACCACACCAATACTAAAAGAAAGGATGAGACGAGAGGAATTTGACTTCAAAATAGGAGGAGTGTGTTTGGAAAAACGTATTTGTAGATATTCCAAAGCTGATAAGTGACTTAGGCCTTTTTATGTTAACTCCTGCTTTCAAGAATTCTTCCTATGAAAAAAAAACAGGAATTGTCACAGCAAAAAGAGAAAAAGTGTGTGTATGGGGAAATGCACATTATGTTTCCATTTGCAGGAGCATGGTTAAACAAAAAAGCTGAACTTAGTAAGTTTAACCCCTCCTACTGTCTTTCCTTGTTCCTTTGTTCTCATTATTTCATCATTCAACAAACTTGCTAATGGATGGACGCATCAAAAAGTAGGATTTCACATAGCTGAGAGTGGTAAAGATTTAATGCAGTTAGTTCAGAATCAACATTAGGAAATGTAACTATCAGCAAAGCTAAGAAAAAATCTAGCACATGAAAAACAGACATTAATGTACATGAACAGAACTGTAGAGACAACATTTCCAGTAACTGCTTGTGCTTTGTTTATTCAAGGCAACATTGCCATGAGAACAAGGTTTTTAGGAAGGAAGGGGGCGGAAGGGGGGTGAGGAAGATGAGTAAAGTGGTTCTGTTAGGATTCCAGCATTGCTGCACCACAGTGTTTTTGGTTTTTTTTAAGTGCATTGTTAGACACAAAGATCACACATTTCTGAGAGTAAGATAACACGTGACAGCCAAGAAAAAAGCAAAATTTGCTGATCTTCATGCCATGAAAATTATAAATAGCTTAATTCCTATAATTAAAACACTGCTTCATGGTCCCCCAAACAGAACGAGAAAACAAACCAACAAACTTCCAAGCCCCAAATTGAGGCTACTGTAAAAATAAACACACTTAGATCCCACCGGCCACGGGTTAAGGTCAGGCTCAGGCTTAAACATGAATTTCCTGCTACCATCTACATGCCGCACTAAACAGTTTTAAAATTGAATTTCCTGAACATAATGTCTCCCACTTTCCCTCTTCATTAAATTTCAAAGTAGTTACTTTTGCAGCAGAAAGCCAAAAACAAATTATTATTTATGAAAAAGGAGAATCACATGTTGAATGCATGAGAATTATTACAGTTAATCTTCCTTACCTCTAATTATTAAAGGTTTGAAAACTGGGAGGAAAAACCTGTATTTAAAGTGCTTGTTCACCAGGAGGCCTAAAGGCAGCGTTGTGGCTTCATTTCACACTGACTTGTACTTCCTCAAATTAAAGATTCCTTGTCACAACTGAATCGTTAACTCTCTTTGCTCTCCAACTGAGTTCATCTCACTCCCTTTCTAGCACATCAGTATTTCTATCAGTGACAGCTTTAGAAACAAAGGAGCTTTATTTACTCAATCAACAAATATGTATTGACTTCTTACTATTCATTAAAAAAAATGTACTGAACATTTATTTTGCTGGGGAAGCAATGCTAACTGGGGCAGAACAGCCATTTGTGCTCAGTATCTGCTCTCCCTTCTGTAAAATTAGAATAGGAATAGGACCTTCCACATGTAGTTGGGCACAAAGCCGCTCAGAATAAAGACTGTATTCTCTAGCCTCCTTTGCAACCAAATGAGGCCACGTATTGAAGTTCTGGTCGATGGGCTGTGAGAAGAAAGGGTGCATGCAACTCCTTCTAGGTGGTGCGTGTGGGATGCAACAATCTTCCTCTCTTCTCCTCCCTTCTAGAACTGGAGTAGTCTTCTTGGACCATAAGCTGGAAGCCACAATCAGAGGATAATGGAGCAATAAGACAGAAGGAGCTGGGGATCCTGATAACCAAAGAGCTCCCCTAAGATCTCTGGAACTTACACACACGGAGAAATAAAATTTTGATTTGTCTGAGCCACTATTATTTTGGATTTGGTCACTCACGAAGAAATTACTAGTTATATTACAAATTTGTGAAACAGTACCAATGGTATTTAGTCAAGAGGAATCTCAATATGGTTAAAGCAATCAGAGACCACATTTACTTTTTTAATAAAAGCATTAAAAAAACCACATTTATTGTTTAGTTTTATTGAAATAGTTTGCTGGCATTTTGCTTATTTATTAAAAAACTTGTAGGGGAAATTCAATCCTGGAAAAGTAGAGGTACAATTTGATTAATTTGAATGAAACTCTTTCCTTCCTATTAAGTCAGCTAAAATAATCCAACTGCAACATAGGTTAAACTAGTTAAAATAAACAGGGAAAGTCGTAAAAGCAGTATGGATGTTGCCATAGAAATAAATGATTTATTTGGACACTATCATTCAAAACTATGTCAGTAATTTTAAGATATCTTCAGATGAACTCCTGAAAAGCCTTTTATAAACTGAGATACCATGGAAAATCTTCAGGGAGGAAACTATGTGAACAAGTATTATAATCAACACTTTGTTACTCTTATTCCCAGAAGTAGTTAGAGAAACACTGGTGGGAAAACACTAAAACATTTCATTGTGAGAATAAAGCATCAGTTTTCCAATGTTATGCAATATCATGTATGAGAAAATATGCTATTTTCAAACAATTCTTCCAATTCCCTCTCCCAAGCACTTTGTTAGAAAAAGACACAACTTATAGTGCATGACACAGCATCAGACTTAACCTGTTTCTTCTCTTTGTAAGACAGCCTTGGAGACTAACTTAGCAAAAGAAAAGGGTCACATTTTGCTCAGTTGAAGGTTATGATGGTAGGAAATTCACTATAAAATTAAGCTCCTACTAAGTGTTGTTATGTGATGATTCTACATATCCATGTATAGCAGAAACTGTCATCAACTTCAACTGACCTACTAGATTAAATGACCCTTCCTACTCACCTCCAGGACTTACTGACTGATGCCCAGACACACTAAACACTCATGGCTCATTGGGTTGTGTTTTTATTAAACTACTTTTATTAATTGTATTTGTTGGTGTAATTGTGTCAGTAGTAAAATATTACATAAACTGATAAAATAAGTGAAAAGAAAGGGAGCAAGATTTAATAAAAGTGAATAGGTTATAAAATTCCTCTCATTGCAAGAACCATAAAAGACTGGGAAAAAAAAAATCCTAACAGTCTGTCTTCAGATTGCTTAACAAGTATCTTTAAGTTCTTATTCTCTAACCGATACTGGAAATTTGTGGGTGTCGTTTATGCAGAGAGGCAACATAGAGCTCTAGTGGGTCTGAACTCCAAGAAAAGGTACTGGCCCTCCATCAAAACATGATGAATGGGTGCAGCACAGTTATACAGCTTAATGAAATCAAATATATATATACATATATTTTTAATGACCTCCTGCTTTAACCAATTTTGTTGAATTAACATTCTATTAATTAACAGATGATTCACTAGTCTTTATTTACAGGTATGATAGCTTCTCCCATATTAGAAACTTGAACCTAAGGTTGGAGCTCTTGATCCTTGAAAAAAACAATAAATAAATAAATAAATTTTCCTAGGGAAAAAAAGAAGTAGGCCTTTCACAGTTATTTATCAAATACACAACATTCTAAACTAATGCAAGTTCTCAGTTTCCATTCTCAGTTACCCTAATTATTGATCAGAAACCAAATATGTACATTCATTAAAGCAATTAAAAAGCAAAGGAAAATTACTTTTCAATTAGTAAATTTGAAATAATTAAAATACACAGGCACACATAGTGATATACAATGAAAATTAAAATTGCAAAAAGAAAATAAAAAGTAGAAAAATTAAGTAGAACATAATCACTTACAAGTCCATTAAAAGATCTATGATGTAGAGCTTCCCATTAGAGTAAAAACATACAGTACACTACTCATCCCCAAACTAGAAATAGTTAATACAAATAGCTAATAAATATAAATGCAGTATTTCTGCCACTTAATATATGCAATAGAACTACAGACCAATAAAAGGAAATACAAGCTTGCATCTGCAACACTAGATGCATGTCAGCCAGAGGAAGTATAAATCAAAACTAGTAGTGCTGAGCCAAGGTTGACATATTGACAAGAGGAAAATTTTGACATTAGTTCAAAACTGATAATGCTGGCAAGGTCACCAGAGGAAAAATTAGCTTGAAAGCCGAAGAAGTACAAACTCAAGTTTTGCTTTGAGATAACGGTTCTCATGTCAAAGTCTGCAGGAAGTCCTCAAACCTGCTCCAATTAACCTTGACCTCCCCTTTTATTTACAACAAGAAGTGTAAGGTTGAACCATACAAAACTGTCGTGTTTGTCAAATATCAGTAATCTCATTAGGTTCAATGCCTTTCTTTAAAGCCAGAATGACTTTGTTTCCTGGTCAAGATGGTTTTTTGAAAATACTTTCCCAACGATAAGACAGTTGCTTCTAAATCTTTCTCTCTTGATGAGAGTGTCAGGGC